CGCTGGTGGCCTGACGTCACCCCCACCCCCACCCCGAGGGAATCCTGGGCTCAGGTTGGGGAGAAGCACTGCCTGGCCTGAGGCAAGGCCAGAGGTCTTGCTTCCCGGTCAGGGGCTCTGCTTTGGGGGATCCACTGGGTTCTTGAAGCCAAAAGTCAAGGCCTGGGGTGGGGCATAGAAGTCACAAGAATGCTGGTCAGAGAGAAGAGGAGCTGTGTCCTGCTCCCCCTGACCTAGTCAGATGCCGCTACCTGGACAGGTGTAAGCTGCTGGCTTTTCTCTGACTTCTCCTCCCCGTGCTTCGGTTTCCCCCTCTGTAGGTAAGGGGCGGGTCTGGGGTCCAGTGACTTGATTGCCTCTGGGTCCATTCCAGCCCTGACTTCTGAGTCTAGTCTGCAAGGGGAGAACTCTAAACTTCCCTCTCAACGTGGTTTCTCCACCCCAGGGATCTGTCTGCTGATGGGTCTTTGCCCAGGTTCCCGGCTGGAGTCCATTTCTTGGGGGACCGTCAATGCTGCGTCCCCAGGAGCTTCTGGTACTGTCTTCCTCAGTTCTTTCTTTGGGGGTAACCGCAGTGGGAGTGCAGGACCAAGGACGGAGGAGTGCCTGGAGCATGAGAGCCAAGGATTGGGAGAGAATGGGGGTGCCGGGGGTGCGGTGTGCAGAGAAGGCTGTGAGAGGGCCACTGGCCCCAGCATTCTCCTTAGAGAAAAGAGCCCACACATTCTTCCCTGAAGACTGCCCAGCTCTGCCGTGAAGGGCAGTGAGGCCTGGCTGGGTCCTCTCTCCGGTCTGGGCCTTGATTTCCTCATCTAAGGAGAGGCCTGAACAGTTACCCCAGGAGGAGAGAGAGGAGTGTCCTAGCCAAGGAGCAGCTTGTGCAGAGGCCCAGGGCTGGCAGTCCGGCTCCTGGAGGCGCCCAGACTGGCCGGAGCACAGGCAGGAGGAGCAGAGACCAGGGAATGGCATTTTGCTTTTAGCCTATGGGTGACGGGCAGCCTCAGAGGGCTTAAGCAGAGAAGAGGCCTGCTTAGATGGTCAGGCACCGGTGGGGACACAGGGTGGTCCGAGGAGAGAGTGGGGCTGGACAGTGCTGTAGTGGTCCAGGCGAGTGACAATGGGGGTCCAGCCTCAGGCAGGGGAGAGAGGAGGACTTGGAGGCTGGACAGAGCAACTGGGCAGTGAGGGTCTGTTGTTGCTGTTCGGAAGATCTGGGGCAGGAGACTGCGCCCTGGGGAGCCGGGAAGGGAGTCTGTCCTGCGGCTTCGGGGGTCGGCTGGGAGAAGCAGAGAGGCCCAGGGTCCTGCACCGCCCTGACCCTCTGCCCTGCCTGCTGCCCCTTCCAGCCTCCAGGAGTGTCAGCTGGAGCCCCCGAGCCTCAGCCGCCTCTGTGAGACTCTGGAGAAGTGCCCGGGGCCTCTGGAAGTCAAGTAAGCAAAGAGGACACCATGTGGGCTCCTGGGGGGGGGGTTGTCCTGGCTAGGGCCAGCTCTGGTCCATTCCCCCAGACCCTGTCCTGTCTCATGTGAGTTCCCTGACCTCTCGCTAGAGGTTCTTGCTTCCCAGTGGCCCAGTTCAGCGCCTCACTCACCCCCCTGAGGGGCAGCGCTGGGCCTGGGGGCTTCCCCTGCCCCATCCACTCAACTCAGGGCACCTGGGAGTCCCGGCCTGCCCCCCACCCCACCTCTGGAGCCCCACCTGGCGCCCAGCCGGGCCCACCACCCTGACCTGAGCCTGTGGCTTCTGAAAGGCCCCTGCAGGAACCAGCTTACCCACCAGGGACATCTGCGGCTGGGACCAGCAACTGGCCCTGGTGGCAGGCGTCCTGGCCCAGCCCCTACTGGCCGGGGCCAGTGGCTTTGCTCCTTAGGTCTCAACTTTGTCTCTGCAAAGTGGCCTGTCAGCCTTCCCTCTGCCTCATGGTTATTGCATTACAGTAACTACTTTAAAGTGAAAAACTCCGCGCGGCCCCTCCCCTCCCGGGTTACCCACAGACAGTCCAGACGGACATGCTACAGTTTCTCTTTACATCACACCCCATCGGCTCCTCTCGGGCCCCTCTGGCCAGCTGTCCGCGTTGACCGCCGGCTGTGCAGACACAGGCTGAGGTCTGTGGCGTGACAGGTGCGGGGCCTCACCGGGCAACTGCCCCCAGCTGGTCTCCTGCGGGCGCCCCTGGGTTGCCCTGAGTATCGGGACATGTGGAGCCGATGGGTTTTTAGTGAGCTGTATTTTTAGACTCGTTGCAGACTTGATTTTCAGAAATGTTACAGAGCGAGTCTGGAGAGTTCCTTCGTCCGGTGCAGCTGGCGGTGAGCACCGCGCGTGATCACAGCCGCTGCGTCACGAGCGTGACTGTGCGTGACTGTGACCGACTCCCCAGATTTCACTCGGGTCTCACCTGCTAGTCCCCTGATGCCTCTGCCCCTCCACCCCGAGCCAGAAGCCCATCCAGGGCTCCACGCCCCGCTTAGCCAGTCTGTTTCTGAGCCTTCTGAGGGGGTGTGTTTCTCATTCTTTATTTTTCATGACCCTGAAAGCTGTGAGAAGTACCAGTCACATACTCTGTCTAGTCCCCCCTTTTCATCTGGCTTCAAGGCTGAACTGGGGTTAGTGCAGTGCTTTAACCCACTGCGCCACCAGGGAGGGCCCCGTCACTGTTTAATTTTAAAACTGCTGTTACTAGGGACTCACGCGTGTAGATAACCACGGAGAGAACACAGTAGTGGACTGCTACTGTTACTTAGCGCCCCTCTGCTATCTCCGTGTTCTCCCCTCAGGGCCCCGAGACACACTCGCTTGCACACACCCACGTGTACACACACAGACGCATGTTATGCTGGAGCATTTCCCAGATACCTTTCTTTTTTTTCTTTTTAAAGATGTATTTCCTTATGCATACACAACTGGGGTCCAGGCTAGAAGAGTGGTGGGTGAGAAGATTCACCAAAGACAGAGCGGGGAGCAGAACAGGCAGATAGGTGAAGTCCACTGCTGAGGGGAACAGCGGGTGGGTCAGGAGAGGTCTGCAGCAACACGTGGGTCACCTCCGGGGCCGGGGATCGAACTCGTGCTGCAGTGGCTTCAGAGAGCTTCATAATGTGGTGCTTTGATCCATTGTGCCATCCGAGAGTGCCCTCTTTTTTTTTTTTTTAAGATTTATTTATTTATGTACAAGAACCAGGGTATAGGCCATAGATGGGAGTCAGTGAGAGGCTTCACCAGAGACAGAGTGGGGAGCAGAACAGGCAGATCGAAGAAGTACACTGCTGAGGGGAGCAGCGGGGAGACAGGGGAGGTCTGCTGCGCCCTGTGGGTCAGCTCCCTGGCTGGGGATCGAACTCGTGCTACGGTGGCGGTAGACAGCTTCACAGTGCTACGCTTGAACCCGTTGTGCCACTAGGAGGGCCTTAGTCTGCTGCTTTTGAGTGGAAACTCTACTCCAGTCTTTGGAAATTCACACCACAGGACTGACAAGTCATGCTGCAGCAAAGAGAACTTTACTTTGGCCCAACATTTCCCAGCGTATGTGACAGCGTCAGTGCTAACTCCAGGACCTTGTGTTCAGAGGGTATGGTTTCAGGGGGAACAGTTTCAGCAGTCTGGCTGTGAGGCCACAGCCCAGCTTTCCAGGGCCTCCCCCTCATTCAGGTCCTTTCTCCCACAGATTATCCTGCGACCTGAGTGAGCAGAGCCTGCAGACCCTGCTGCACCACCTGCCCCGGCTCTCCCAGCTAAGACTGCTGCAGTAAGACTGGCCCCCATTTCCCTCCCCTGCAGGGCCACCCCTCCCCCCAAACCTCCCAACTCTTGGCACAACCTGGAGCTTAAGTCTAAAACGTTGTCAACGTCCTGGGTGAGTTAGCTGGGCCCGCAGGCCTCAGTTTCCCCACCTGACATGGATGAAGGTTCCCGGCCCTTGGGCTCTCAGGCAGACAGGACAGTGGCCTTGCCCAGCCACGGGGTCACCTGGTGCTGCGGGGGGAACTGGACAGATGTAGGCGTGTCGATGTCACACCCGAGCGTCTAAAGGTCACCGTCTAGCTCTGTAAAAGGAGAACTTCACCACATCCCCCCGACATATTTAAAACTCTCTTTTCTAATTTCAGCTCCGACTGGTTAGAATTTAAAAAGGATTTACTTTAAATACTCTTCTAGCAGGGGGGAGGCAGCTGCAGCTGAGGTGGAAAAATACAACAAGAAATTAAATCATCCCATTAGTAACAGCAACATGAGCGCCATGCTGCAGATGGAATTCTAATGCTAAAGATGCCTGGGGGCCTCGGCACATCCTGGATCTCACTTGTCCCTGGGCCCCATGGGGAGGGTGAGAGGGGGACCAAGACGTTCCAGGGAGCTGCCGAGTGTGTCAGCTCACATGTCAACCCTCGGAACTCAACCACCTTCCGGGCCACCAGCCCAGCTTGGAGAGCGCAGGAAGGAAGGGCTCCTTTGCGCACCAAAGTTGGCGGGTTACAGGGAGCAGGTAGAAAACAGCAGACCTGGGAGGGGCTTCTCTATGCCCACGTCACACTGCATCATCTCCAAAGCCCTTCTCCTTTGGAATGAGGTAGCCAGTTTGAGCCTCTGCAGAGCTTTCGCTTGTATTCCTCAGTCCCTATCAATTCCTAGCGCTGGGGACTGGGCGCTGGGCCGGGTGTTTGAGGCATAGTAAGGGGTGAGGAGTGACTAGGTCTTTGTCCCCTTGGCGTTTACCTTGTAGTCAAGAGAGCAGGACAGTTAGCAAAGTAAAATGTGACTGATTCAGACAGTGAGATGTGGTAAAGAGAGACTGAGAAGGTGATTCAGATGATGACTGGGAATTCCTCTGAGGAGGATACTGAGGTAGTTGGAAGGAGAAGGGGAGCCAGTCTTGTGAAGAGCAGGGAACAGCATTCCAAGCAAAGGGAACAGCATATGTGAGACCCTGAGGTGTGACTGGGCCTTGTCGGGTCAGGGACAGCCAGAAGACCAAGGGGGCCAGAACCCAGTGGTGGTCAAGGAGAGTTGTGGGAGTGGGGGCAGTTCAGAGGTGGACCAGGCTGGACCAGTGTGAACTGGGCCGCTTGTCTGTGGGCCCTCACCCATGTGGCTGAAATTTAGTTGTACTGCAGGCACACACAAAAGGGTCAATAATGGGTTTATTTACAAAAGGGGAAAGGAGAGGGAACAACCCAGAAAAGAGAGAGAGATACAAGGTCACTAGAATATCTTACTGGCTCAGCGGATTTGGAGCTCTGGTAACAAGCTTACTGATAGCCCCAAGTCACGCAGTCCCAAGAGCCAGACCATTGCCTGAGCCAGAGAGCTCCGTTGCCTGAGCCCCCAGAGCTGTAGAAAATGGCGCCCTATTTATCACCCAAAGTCCCAGAATGCTGCTTAGCTCCGCCCTTGGGTCCTCGCAGTTCTCTCCCTGGTGCTGCTGGGAGTTGTAGTTTCCAGTCACTGGAGTAGGGGGTGGAGTCCAGAAGACTCTGCAGAGTCCCTTTAGGACATCCTTCTCCATAACAGCTCCAGTGGCTAGTAACCACTGGAAGGAGATTGGAATTTCAGCCAAGGGCATTTGAAGGGTGGGAGAATGACCTGTTTTCAAGAGTGTGGTCTGCCGGATAGAAAAGGAACAGGGTGAGTAGGGAAATGGGAGCAGGGAGGGGACAGCTAGTGAGAGATGATGTGACCAGTGAGAGATGATGTGACCAGGAATCGGTGTAGAGACAGAGAGCGGATTCAGGTGGATCTTGGGAGTGGAGCAGACAAGAGGCTGAGGATGGTTTCGGGGGTGGGGGGGATTTGCCAAGGGAAAGGAAGGAGCGAAAGATGCCGCTGAAGACCCTCACTTTCTCTAAGGCAATGTTCACAGCCTGGAGCGTTTCAGGCCTTGGGGGACATCTGCTCGTGGGGGCCTGGGGTTGGGACAGCACAGTAGGCATTCTGCTCGACACCTGTCGGCCACCCCCCCACAAAAGGATGACCCAGCCCCAAATCTCAGTGGTGCTGAGGTTGAAAAACTGCTGAGATCCTGTCGGCAAGGCCCTGCCGATCAGGTCTGGGCTTGGGCCAGAAACAGCCATAACCACCGCGAGCTGAAGCCAGACACCCTCGCCCCGGGGGGGAAGGTCAGCCGGGCTGAGTCCCATTTTCTAGGCAGGAAAACCAAGGCCCGCAGCCAGGAAGCGGAACCGGGGCTCCAACACCCGCCCACTTGCCTCTGCCCTCGAGCCTCGCCTCTGCCTCCCTTGCTGGTCCCTTTCTCCTCGGCCGCCCGACTGGCCCCAGCCCGCCCTGTCCTTGCCGCTGGTCTTGCTGGCCCCGACCCGCCTCTCCCCTTCCCTTCCCAGGCTGAGCCTGCTGGGCCCCTGCCCGCGGAGCCCCCTCCTGCTGGCCGACCTCTTCAGCCGCTGCCCCCGACTACAGAAGGTGGACGTCAGGTGAGCGTCGCCTGGGGACCGCTGGGCCGGGCTGGGGGCTCCCGCCTGAGGTCGAGGGTGTGAGGGGCAGGATGAGGGCAGCGGGCCATGTCCGGGTTCGGGTTCTGGAGGAGGGGATGTGCGCCCTGGGGCAGCTGGGGCTGACCGAGGGGCTGATCCTGCGCTGTCTCTCCAGATCCCTGACGCACATGACCTTGCACTTCCGGTCCAGCGAGGGGCAGGAAGGCCGGCGCTGCGGGTAAGTCCCCCATCCGTGCCTGGCCGCCAGGGGACACTGGGGTGCACAGACCCGTCTCTGGGGCCTCAGGGGGCACAGAGACGACAGCCTGGAGGCTCCGGGCCAGAAACTGGTTTCCTCCACCATAAAGAAACAGAGGTCCAGAGGGCGTCGGGCTTCCTCAAGGGCAAACAAGGGCACCCAGGGGCCTGGTCAGAGGTCAAGGACTTCACGGCCTGTCCACCAGCCTTAATTATTTTTTTAAAGGTTTATTTATTTATGCACACAAGAACTGGGGTGCCAGAGGTGCAGAGGGTGAGCTGCAGAGGGTGAGAGGATTCACCAGAGTCAGAGTGGGGAGCAGAACAGACAGACCCATGGGAATCCACTGCTGAGGGGAGCAGCTGGTCAGACAGGAGAGGTCTGCTGTGCGCCGTGGTCACTCCCTGGCCGGGGATCGAACTCCTGCAGCAGCAGCTACAGAGAGCTTCATAATGCTGCGTTTTAACCCCTTGCACCACCAGGGAGACCCTCAGCAGCCCTTACATCCCAGCTCCATGAGGGCCTGGCAGCCTGAGCAGGCACTGTGACCTCTGGAGCCCTCCGCTTCTGTAGTAGGAGAAGGGGTCCCCGCTTTGCAGAATGCTTGCCAGGACTAAACAAGACTATGTGACTGAAGCATGGGGCGTGTGCCCTATCCCTGACACTCCTGGGCCAGTGCTCTGGGGTCCTCAGGGGACAGGGAGGGATACTGCTCAGAGGCAGGATAATGGGGCGAGGTGAACCCCCAGATGCAGGTGTGGCCATTTTGATGCCTCTGACCTTTGGAAAGGCCTCTCCTTCCACACTGGGCCTCCCCTGTGCTGACTGTGCCAGTTGGCAAGTGCCAGCTGCACAGGACAGCATCTGAGACCTGTGCGCCCCCGCCCTCCCGTAAGGCGCACCTGGGCCTCACACACCGGCCGTCCTTTGGTGCGTCCAGCCCGGGCCCCACATACTTCCTGCGAAGGGCTAGAATGCAAGTGTCTTGGGCTTTGCAGTTCTGGAGCTGGGAGTCCACACCTTGCTGCTGCAGCTTGAAAGCACCATCAGTGTGTCTTTGCGCCCATGAAACTATTTCAGGACACTGAGGCTGAATTTCCTTTATTGCTTATGTGTCCCGAAATATGATTTTGATTTTTTTCACAGCTTGCAAATGGAAAATATGTTCTCGGAGAGCGGGCCATTCCTGCTTTTGCAGGTGGCCGTGGGCTATAATTTGCCAACTCGGGTCCTAGCCGGACACTAGGCCAGGATGCCTTGATAGAGTCTGAGTCAGCCTGGACAAAATCGGGCATGACCAGGAGGGCGTGATGTAAGGACATTGAGCAGATGGGAGGGGAGTCTCCCTCCTTGAGATCAGTACTGCTTTTTCAGCTCCCAGTCCTGTGGAAGCCGGGAGACTCTAGGGGGCCGTGGGTGTGTCCGCACCCAGGACGCTTGCTGAGTTCCTCTTTGAGCAGAGAGCATGCTTAGCAGGTGTGAACAGCTGGCTGGCTCAGTTGGAAGGTCCGAGACTGCTTAAGGTCTGCTGGTGGTTTCCAAGGCCAGTTTTCCTTTGAGGGACTGACTGGGGGTTCGTGAGCTGATTTAAAAACAGGAAGCGGGGCCCTCCCTGATGGCGCAGCGGGTTGGAGCGCTGCACCTTGTAAAGCTAAGCCAAGCCATGGCCGCTTCAGTGCGAGTTCAGTCCCCATCCTGCAGCTGACCCACAGGGCATGGCAGACCTCTCCTGTCTCCCCGCTGCTGCCCTCAGCAGTGGACTTCATCCATCTGCCTGTTCTGCTCCCCACTCTGTCTCTGGCGAAGCCTCTTGCCACCCCCTGCACCTCTGGCCTATACCCCAGTTTTGTATGCACAAATAAATAAAAGTCTTTAATAGGTAAATAACTAAATAAAGACAGGAAGCAAGTGATCACATCATAGAGAATTTCAGGCCATGGGAAGAACTCTGCAGGAAAGCAGCAGTGGTCATGGATAATGACTTTAGGTACTTTCTGATTCTTTTCCTTACTCACTGGCTGGCCCCAGGCCCTTCATTATGCAACCAAGTAGCCTCACTTTAGGCCTCTCAAAGGCAGCTTTACCCTCAGCTTTAATTCTAGCATCAATGGCTCTCTGCAGGAGCAGGCCACACCCTTGTGTTCCCTAGTCCACACCCCAAGAGCTGTGTTCCCCAGCTCGAACTTGAATCCAAGTTACCTGGAGAGCCTTGCCTGAGAGTTTCTGATCCGGTGGCTCTGGGCCGGGTCTCCAGGGATCACCCCAAGTCATGCTGTGTGACCGACTGGGGACCACACTTCACAAGTCATCGCCGCAGAGGGAGGAGGCGGGTTCCAGGTGGGATCCACCTGGGAGCAGGTGGGCATGGCAGGTGCCAGGTATTTCCACCGAATCTAAGCTTGTATGAAGTCCCGCCTGTGCTCGGAGACCCCACCAGGATTTAGCCAGGGACCAGTGGGTCTGAGAGACTGAGCGCCCCTTCCTTGGCCTGTTCCCTCTCATCCAGCAGGTTCACAGACTGCAACCTCAGCCTGGAGCACATGGATACGCTGTGCTGTCTGCTGAGCGGGTGTGAGGACCTCAGCCAGCTGGAGTAAGTTGGGGGGCGGGGGAGGGAAGCATGCACACCTGGATGGCACTGGAGTGGTGTGTGTGTGTGTGTGTGTGTGTGTGTCTGCACACTCAACACTTCTCAGGACCAAAGACCAGGACTCTGCATTGCATCTATAAGGATTCCCTGTGCCCAGATTATCATCCCCTACCTCCCAGGGTGGTGCTGGTTCGGGGAGCCCTTCACACAAAGCCACAAGTGCCCCTGTGTTGATCCAGCATCTGATCCCTGCTGGCTGATAGGGCCCAACAAGAAGGACCCATTGACTTTCCCAGCAGGTGGTTAAAGTGCAAAAGGCTCAGGCCTGGGAGTGTCCGAACCAGCTGGGCGCCTGGGTTGTCAGAGGTTGTGTCTGTGTGACCTGTCATGGGTCTCCAAACCACAGGAAACGTGACAGCAGTCCCAGGAGCATGAGCTCTGCTAGTCTGTGTGCTTTGCATCTTCTTTTTATCTTTCCAACAACCTAGGTACCGTGCTCCCCACTTTATAGAGGAAAGAGGAGAGGGTGAGAGCTTAAGGACTTGCCCAAGGTCAGGGCCACCAGGTCATACAGTGCAGGATCTCCGCTCAGGAGGAGTGAGGAGTCCTGGGGAATCCAGTAATGAGCTGTGAAGGGAGCTGTCTACCAAACAAACACGCTTTAAATCCCTGCTGTGAGGAGGCCAGGAAGAGAAGTGTGGCTGATGAAAATTATCCTGAAGTTTTCAAGACAGATAAATTTGCAATATGACTTTGATCCTTTAATTTTTTAGAAGGAAAATTTTTCTTACTCTGAAGAGTACTAAGAGGCTTTGTAAGACAAGCTCATTTTTTAAAGTTTTGCAGGAAAAGATGAGCAAACAAGTCCCCAGATTGCCCTCATCAGGGAGAAAATTAGTTCAGAGACGCAGGACAGAAGTCAGAAGTGCTGGTGCAGGCTGATCACGCTGTTTCTGAAACTAGCTAGAACCACAGACCGCCACACCAGAGGGAAATAAGAGTATTCAGGAAGTCTGTTGGGGCAATGCATACTCCAAACCTCTTTGTTTTTCCTGAAATTGCTCTCTTTTTTTTTTTTTAAAAGAAATGATTTCTTTATGCTTACAAAACTGGGGTATAGGTCAGAGGTGTTGGGGGGTGCTGAGAGGACTCCCCAGAGACAGAGTGGGGAGCAGAACCGGCAGATTGACAAAGTCCACTGCTGAGGGGAGCAGTGGGGAGACAGGAGGGGTCTGTCGCGCCCTGTGGGTCCCTCCCTGGCTGGGATCGAACTCATGCCTTTGGGACACAGCAGTTGGACTGCCCAGGGATGGTGAAAGTGCGGGGCAGTGCGGAGTAGTGACTAAAACAGCAACTAACTGAAAAAACAGAGCACAGTGAGGGTGACGGGACAGGCGGTGTCCACATGAGTCCGTCGGATACCAACAGCCCCTCTGACCTCTGCAGCCTCTCTGCAAACCTGCTGGGGGACGGCGGGCTCAGGAGCCTCCTGCAGAGTCTGCCCCAGTTGCCTGTCTCGGGTTCTCTTGAGTAAGTGACCAGTGGCTTGAAAACAAGAGGAGCAACTCCCTGGGCCCTGTGGGCTTCGCTAGAGGCACCCCTAGAGCACACGGGCTGGGGGAGGGTAGGGGGTCGGCCGCATCCTCCTCCCTGCCCAGCCCGGGAGAGGATGATGCAGCATGCCAGCTGCCGCTCTAGATGCAGGTTGGGAGGCGTCCCACAGAGGGGAGGGTCCCCAGGAAGCCAGCCCATCCCCACCCAGTCTCCCGGTGACCCGGGGAGCAAGCCTGTCGCTCCCGGGTGGCCCCGGCCCTGCGGCCTGGCACAGACAGGTCCCCTCCAGGCAGCAGGCTCAGCACTCACCTGCAGTGCTGGGTGCTGTCCTGCCGTGAGAGAGCAGGGCCTCAGGCTTCTCTCTGGGCCTCGGGCTTCTCCCTGGGCCTCGGGCTTCTCCCTGGGCCTCGGGCTTCTCCCTGGGCCTCGGGCTTCTCTCTGGACCTCGGGCTTCTCCCTGGACCTCAGCGTCCTGACCTGAGAATGGTGCTTGGACTGTGCGGACTCCTCCCAGCGACGACAGCTGGAGAGGAAGAGCTGAGGGAGACCAGGCAGGGCTCCACTGGGGTGCTGCCACCACCCCCCTCCTGAACCTCCTTTCTCTTCTAGTCTGAGCCATAACAACATCTCTCAAGAAGGTGCCTTGTACCTGGTGGAGATGCTACCCTCCTGCCCACGTGTCCGGGAGGCCCTAGTGAAGTAAGGATGTGTGGCACCGCTTGCTGATGGAGGGGACGCAGCCCCCCCACCCCCCAATGAGTGGCCCTCCTCTCTGAGGCTCAGGCCACTGAACTCGGCCTCACGGTGTCCACCTCTGTGGCCTCACGCCCTGGGGCTGGGGAGGTCATAGCACAGGCGGGCCAGGTTTAACACAGTGAGGTGATCTCCACAGCCAGGGCCTTTCTGGGGCGCCCGGGCCCCGTCGTTTGTGGGGAAGGGTCGGGTCTCCTGCAGTCCTGATGCCCGGGTGCCTGGGATGCTGCCCAGCTCAGCTTGGCCTCCTTGGCCCCTCTCTCTACAGCCTGGGCTCCGAGCAGAGCTTCCGGATCCACTTCTCCCCACAGGCGGAGGCTGGGACGACACTCAGGTGAGGCCTGCTCTGGAGGGAGGGGGCAGGGGGAGGAGGCTGGCCCAAGGGCAGCCTCCTTGCCTCCTCTGGGCCTCTCCACCTTCACACACCCACCTCAAGTGCTTCGTCCGCCTGTGCTCCCCCACACCTGCCCCCAGACCCCTACACCTGCAGCCCTCAGGCCGGGCCTCCACCCCATATCTGCAGCTAAGCCAGGTCCTAGCTCTAAGTCGGAGGCTCTGACTATGGCAGTTAAGAAGTTGGACTCTGGAGCCCCTTGGGGTACATCCCAGCGCGAGCACTTCCCAGCCGTGGGCACTTGGGCAAGTGCCTGAGCCTCTCTGTGTTTCAGTTTCTCGTCTAACGTGGGAGCAATAGTAAAACCTGCCTCGCAGGGGTTTTGTGGCATTGGCTGGGAAGTTGTCGTGGGTGAGCCCCCAGATACTGGACATGATAGGAGATGATGAACTGGGCCGTGGCCACACAGCAAAGCATCGAGCGGCCACACACACACACACAAAGCAGCTGATTCAGATGCAGGCAGGCCCCCCCACCCCACCCCCAGTGCAGAGCTGCAGGGCTGAGAAACAGGCCACACCTCTAGCAGCGGGCAGCTGGAGAAGCCTGGTGCCTGGTGCCTGCCCGAGCAGACCGTGCAGGGTCCTGAAGGGGTTCCCGATGCAAAAACAACTGGGGGTTACAGTTCTGCTCATGTTAGGGGCCTTGGGGGTGAACGGTGGTGCTCGAGCAGTTTCTTGCTGGATCAGCCTTGGCCCATGTCCTAACCTAGATGAACCGGTCACAAGGCCGTGGGCTTTTTCTGGCCAGGCCCCCTCCATCCACCCACAACGCTGGGAGGGACCCTCTCCACACACACACCCGCCTGCACCCCCACGCTCTAAGCCCTTCAAGGACCCCTACTCCCCTCAGGATCAAGCTCAAATTCCTTAGCCTGTCTCCTCCCTCACTGTCTGATCTGGCAGCCGCTTCCCATGATCTCTCTCCCATCCCACACCATACACACCCCATGCATTCTGTAACACACACACACACACACACACACACACACACACTCACACCAGACACCACATATCAACACCACACCACACATACCCCCCACACACATGCCGTGCTCCCCACTTTATAGAGGAAAGAGGAGAGGGTGAGAGCTTAAGGACTTGCCCAAGGTCAGGGCCACCAGGTCATACAGTGCAGGATCTCCGCTCAGGAGGAGTGAGGAGTCCTGGGGAATCCAGTAATGAGCTGTGAAGGGAGCTGTCTACCAAACAAACACGCTTTAAATCCCTGCTGTGAGGAGGCCAGGAAGAGAAGTGTGGCTGATGAAAATTATCCTGAAGTTTTCAAGACAGATAAATTTGCAATATGACTTTGATCCTTTAATTTTTTAGAAGGAAAATTTTTCTTACTCTGAAGAGTACTAAGAGGCTTTGTAAGACAAGCTCATTTTTTAAAGTTTTGCAGGAAAAGATGAGCAAACAAGTCCCCAGATTGCCCTCATCAGGGAGAAAATTAGTTCAGAGACGCAGGACAGAAGTCAGAAGTGCTGGTGCAGGCTGATCACGCTGTTTCTGAAACTAGCTAGAACCACAGACCGCCACACC